AGATTTTGGAATTAATTATAGGAATCCTTCCTGTGGGAAAATACTTCTGTTTTGAATTCTTTAAAAAAAATGATAGGATAGAACTTTGAAGGTTGGACACTAGAGGGAACTAGAAGGAACTAAAGACTACAATTAAAGGAGGACACTTACATTTGACTTACTGATACAGAATGGAGCAAAATATTTTAACATTTGACATACTGAAGAATATTTTTGAACAACAGACCCAGAAGTTAATTTTAAGTGTGTCTGCCTCTATAGATAGATTTAAAAGATGTTTAAAAGATGTTATGGAAGAGGAACAAGTTTTACTGGACAAGACTGAGCCTGATTTGAAAGTGGATTTAAAAATGACAAGCTACAAGAATGATAGGGAAAAAGATACTACACTGGACATACAAAAGAAACTAGCTGATGTCTTAATTAAAAAGGATATACAAATAAACCAAGAGAATGACCTGGATGGATAATCTTTCTATATTGGTTTTACAAAAGAGGCTTGTTAAAGAAGAATTTTGTGGGAAGGGACAAAGAAAAAATGAAAAGAAATCAAGATTAGGACATTATTTGAAGGGAATAAAGATCAAGATTGTTAAAAGGAAAAGGAAGGAATATAAAGTTGGTTAAAGGTTAAAATAGATATGTTGTTATTTCTGGTAACCCTTAATGGACCTTAAGGTTTTAAAGGATTTGTTTATAGATAAGAGATGGGATATGGGAAGAAGAGATTATTTGTTGTATTTTAAAAGAAGGTTACTAAAATTGTTTATATTTGTGATGAAGGGGGAAGTAATTTCTTTATATACTTTTCTTTTTCTTTACTAAATTCTTATTTTTTCTTTTTCTATTTTTTCTATTTCCTTTTTCTTTTCTGCACTTTTTTTTTAGTTTGTATTAATTTTTTATCGTTATAGTTGTAATTTTTAATAAAATTACTATTAAAAAGGTTTGGATGCATTCAGAACTCTTTAACAGTTCTGTTCTGGTAAAGATTGACATCTTGAAGAAAATGATCATACTGTGGCTTTAACAGTAGCTTGCACACACAGGCAAGATATAAAATGTTTTTTTCCTTCCTTATTTAATGGAAAGAAAAATCTTCCCCTACTTCATTTTTAGTTATTAGGCTAACTTACTTTGTTTATTTCATATATACTTTGCCCTTCTGCTCTAGCAAACACTTAATACAGCTAACAAAATGTAAAATAAAAACAGAACATAAAAAGTATAAAAATACAAATTAAAAAGTAATAAAATATCAAGATTCTCTTAACAATTAAAAGCCCAGTGAAAGAGATGCATCTTTACAAATTACCTAAATATTGACACTAGAGCCAAACTTCCATAATGGGAGAGCAACAGAGGAAATGATTCTCTTCTGCATGCCGCAGCCTGGTCAGTAGGGGGCATATTCAAGAAGGGTCCTCTATCTTAACTGGATAGGCTTGTAATGGGCAGGTGGTCCCTATGTTAGGCTCTAAGTCATTCAGAAATCAGTACAGCTCTTTCAGTATAGGTATAGCCCTTTTTTATGCCTTTTGAGTCAGCCTTGACTCCAGGCAACTGCCTGGATAAGTCCCTGCAGCTTTCTTGGCAACATTTTTGGAAGTGGTTTGCCCTTGCTTTGTTCTTAGGGCTGACAGAAAGTGATTAGCCCAAAGTTGCCCAGCTGGCTTTGTGCCTAAAGTAGGACTAGAACTAAGCAGAATTGGAACTCAGTCTCCCTTTACTTTGATACCATTACTTATACCAATTAAGAGCCTAGCTGGCACATTTTAACAATCTGTCCACTTCTGAACCTGAAGTTAAATTTGTTGCAATAGCATAGTATTTTGTTGTTTTTCAAACCTGGATTCTAAATGGCCATACTAAAGCTTATTCTAGATCCAGATTGTTTAAAGTACTATAGTCAGTGTGATATAGTAGTTAAGGTGCTAGGTTAGCACTTGGAATCCAGATTCTAGTCTACCTTCAGCCTTGGCCCAAAGTCATCCAGGGTTTCCAAGGCTAAAAGATGACTAGAAGCTGGATCTTCAGTGCCAGCCCAGCACCTTAACCACTATATCACACTGGCTATAGTACTTTAAAAAATCTGGAACAGGAAGAAACTCTTCTCCCTCGCCTTCAATAATCTGTTGTGAGCTCTGAGAAGGATATAAATGCAATAAATAAATATTGCCAAAATCTGGATGCTTTTCTTGTAGATAGTATTTTCACATTACAGTATACTTATTACAGCTACTAAGGACAGACAATACAGAAATGTAAAAGATTATATTAGATTTTTACATAAAAAAACGAATTCACTATAAGCATACAATCTAAACTGACATTATGTCTGGCACATAAATTCATGTCAACAAAGCTATAGCACAGCATTTAAGACCAAGCTACAAGACTTTTTTTACCTGCGTTCTTTTATAGAAAAACTCTGTACTCCAAACAGATCGCCCAGAAGGTCATTTGCACAGTGGACAATATGCTGTTGCTTTTCATCATATAGACGTTTAGACATAATATATTGACCAATATAGAACAAAATCTACAACAGCAAACATTAAACAGTTTTATCACACAAGATTTAGAAAGTAGAATTTGTACTGTATTTACTACAGACTGATCACAGAATCATTACATCTATTAAACGGAAAGCTAGTTTCCAACACTGGATCACATCCCAGCACGGGCATGAAAATGAACCGAGGATATAGACATTATACAAATGTTTAAATTATAATACTATTATGGTGCCCTTCTGAAATTAGAAATATTCACTGAATATGGAAAATAAACCTTTGAAAACTGTTATGTTAGGAAAACAGAATATAGATCTTGCCTTTCCCCTCATACTTAAGGCTAAGATAAAATCATAACCCACCATCTCAGCTGTGCAGTATTTTTCACTCTTCAGTTATGCTACCGTACAGGTAGTCCCCAGTTTAAGAACAAGTTCCATTCCCAAGGTCTGTCCTTAAGTTAAATTTGT